CTTTGTAGTGTTTCAAGTCACGCAGTAATCTCCCTGACATTTAGGCCGTGTACATTATAGGAGACTATGCATAAGTCTTCTCTGGCGAAGCCGCTGGGTTCTTGTACTGGCATCGTCCGAGCGGCCCGGAGGGGCGACGGAGGCGGGGCGGGTGGGTCCAGGGTGTGTGTGTGTGCGGTTTGGTGATCGGATTTGCGTCTAGGCTCCGGTTGAAGCTGTATAGGTACTTGCTGTTGGTTGAGTCTTTGTGGGTGTGGAGGATAATGGACAAGTGTCCCGGTTGTTCGACCTATAGGTCCCACCCAGTGGTGTGCCTGTGTCGGTGCCGGGAGTGGTACGTCCCCTGCTAAGTGGGGACTTTTGTGTCCTATACCTGTGGGGGTGTCGGGTTATATGCCCTAGTAGGCTCGGTCCGCCGCGTGGCGTCCGTCAATGCCGTGTAGGTGTGGAATGTGATAACGTGCTTGGTTCGTAATGTGTGGTCACACGTCTCCTTAGTGGCTGTACGGTTGGAGCATCTGCTCAGTCTCTTCGTTATTGTGTGTGTATGGGTCATCGTTTGCGTATCGTGCAGGTTGCGGACTACTGCAGTGGTGTCTCTCGACTTGTGTGTGTCGTGTCTCGGGGGTGGTCTCGCTTTGTGAGTTCCTGTCTAGGTGCGCGTGCACTGCAACTCCAGGTCTTGTGGGGCGGGGGTAATCTCTACTAGCTGGACCTGTGAGAAGTGTTGTTCTAGTGGAATATCGGGTCTGGAGGTGCTACCTTCCAGCCTGTGTCTCGCCGATTATATGGGTGTGGTGTGGGCGGGGGTCGTGCCTGGGGGTTAATCCCTGTATTACATTACTCTCTATATTCCCAGTGCGGCTGAATCTTCTATACCCTATTCAGTTCCTGGATTTTGTGTGGTGTCTACGCCGCTGGCTGTGTCGGAGGCCGCTTTATGGCTGCGTGTATGTGGTGCGGGCCTCGTGTAGTGAATTGCGTTTTGCAGCACTTGCAGTAGGTGGGGCCCCCCTGGGTCCATGTCTTGATGTGTTTCGGTTGATCTTTTTTGGGGACTTTCACTTGGTCCTTATTGCCATTGATTCCCTTAGCGCCTATGCTTAATGTGTATCCGTGGTTGGTGAATGCGGCGTCTCACTTGAAGACCGTGCCTATGTATTTTGCCTCAAGATACCTATTTTGGGGTCTCCCCCTGTCATCTCCCGACTCCCATTACTTTCTCCCCAGGCGGTGGTTGGAGAAACGATCTCGCCAGCCAGTCTGGTACTTGGAGCGGTGGTATGCCCATGGCTCGGAGGAAACCTGGGAGGTTACTTGATCTGGGCCGTGTTGATCTGGGCCGTGCTTAGCTGAAAGTGAGAATGGGTAGCCCCAGCGGTATGGTATTCCTGCCTGTTGCAGGGCAGATGTTACCTGGCGTAGGGCTCTCCTGGCTTGCAGGGTGTTTCGGGACAAATCTTGATAAATCGATATGTTTTGGCTCTCAAAGCGTATGGTCCCCATGCGGCGAGCCGTGCGCAGAATGTCTTCCTTCAGTTGGTAATTTTCTAGGCAGCATATGATATCTCTAGGTTGTTCTTCTGGTGCCGGCATGGGTCGCAATGCCCTGTGCGCCCTGACTAGGCCTAGTCTGGGTAGTTGCTGGCCCCCCAGTACCTGGGTGAACAGTCGTTTTAATATGTCAGGTATGTGTTCCGCTGGGTCACCTTCCCTCAGCCCGCGGACGCGCAGGATCATTCTGCGGCCGCGGTTGTCCAGGTCGTCTACCCACATGGTGAGGCTGGCTATGTCTGCTTCTTGGTTAGTTACAGTCGAGTTTGTGTGTTCCAGGTCTGTGCGGAGTGCCCTGGTCTCAGACTCTGCCACCGACATACAGGCCTCCACATTGGCCAGGTCGGCACGTAACTGGGCCACCTCCTCCCTTACTACACGGCCTAGGCGGTCTGACAGGGCCTCCAAGTCGGCCTTGGTTAGTAGGTTTGGCAGTATGGCCCTCCACTCACTCTCCTGCGGGAGCTGCGTCTCCGACATCACTGAAGGTGCTGGCGATAGTCTGGCCAGCGTGGAAGGGAAGGAGTCAATTTCCTGGCTTGCGGTCTCTGCCTCCCGCTGCGGTGAGTGAGTGCGGGTTGCGGCATGGAGGTAGGAGCGGATGGATTGCTCCCTTTCCCATCCCGAGGATCTCGGGGTGCTGCTGGGGTCTGTTAGTTTTTTGGTGCGACCCATTTCTGGTGTATGGGCGAGCAAGATGCGTGGGTGATTGCAGAGTTTCAGCGGGCGCCACGAGGAGCTCTTGTTTTAGGCGTCCATCTTCCTCGGCCGCCGGACATGCCCCTCTCGTGTATAACAGATTGAATTTAGGACCACCTTTAATATTATTTGGATGCCTACCTCAGTCTGTTGTTCACTCACTAGTTCCAGAAAGTATGTAGCTATTATTATAAGTAAAGTAAGAAGTAAAACAATAATAAAGGTGACATTTCCAATGGCTGTCTTTTTTATTAAGCTTGGTTAAAGTATATATAAAATATGTTTTCACTGTATTGTGAATACATTGTACTTACATACACACATACTCACATAACTCGCATTTAGCTTGCACCTACATGCACTCTCATATCACTTATAATGAATACATTTACATACATTAAAATTTCACACACCCTAAGCTCAGACCAACATACTCACTCAACTCACACCTGGTGAACAGTCATATAACTCTCAATCATACTACGCTGTATTCACAAATACTCATCTCACACCTAGTGAACTCACACAAGAATACAAAACCTTCTCACATCAATACACACTCACACTAACAGCTCACACACTGAGCTCTAAGCAGGGCCAGATTAAGAGCCCAGTGGGCCAGGTGCTGACAGTTATGATGGGGCCTAATTACAGAACTGTCACGGCCCCCGGCTCGCAACAAGGTCAGCGGTGAGTCGGGAGCCACTCTGCCCGGTTCTCCTGGCCACCTGCCCGGATTCAAGGTGGTGCTGACCATGCGGTCGTGGCCAGATATAGCTCTGCCCCCCAGGGTCACATGCACATGCACGTTCTGGGGTTAGAGGAAAGAGGAATATTTAACCTAGGTTATTGCCCAGTCGTGGTTTTCGTTCCTGGTTCCTGAGAATGCATTTTCTTGTCCTGTTTTTGATATTCCCAGTATTTTGACCTTGGCTATTCCTGACTATTCTGATTTCTGGCTTCCCTGACTTGGCTTGTTAAATGGTATTGTATATTTCTGGCTTCCTTGACCTCGGCTATCCCTTGACCATTATCATTTTCTATTCTGTCTATGTAGATGTTACATAGTTCTGCGTGCAGGACCACACTAGCAGTCATGATAAGAATCTTATCGACAAAAAACACTAAAACAGTCATACATCTGATGGAGATGGTGTTGGAGGGAAACTCAAAGGATGCAACTTTAAGAAAACACATGCTCTTTGCTAATCTCTCTCTAATTTATGCTTTCATCTTTCAAGTAAATTCATACCCCCTAACAGCAGTGTCCAGTGAAGAAGGAAATCAGTG